AGGAAGCCCCGTGAAGGCCCTCCCTGGCCACAGGCAGACAGGGGTGGGGAGAGGCAGGGAGGAAGCAACTTACCCTCCCTCTTCTCCTGCCTCCTCCTGGCTGAATGAGGGCCGGAAGCGGGGCGGCCGGAAGCAGGGGGCGGGGCTTCGTCATGTGCCCCGCCCCCTGCACCTCACCCGGGGGAACTGCGTTCCCCCGCGTTCCCCCCCGAAATGACCTCTGCTTCTAGGTTATGTTTTGTCTCTAACCTGGAGGGCGCAGGCTAGCCCAATCTCATCAAATCCTGGAAGCTAAGCAGGGTCGGCCCTGGGGAGTACCTGGATGGGAGACCTCCAAGGAAGTCCAGCATTGCTACATAGAGGCAGTCAATGGCAAACCACCTCTGACTGCCTCTTGCCTTGAAAATCCCTCCGGGTTGCCATAAATCAGCTGTGACTTGACGACAAAAACCCTCCCAGTTGATAGGAAAGGATGAGGTGGGTGGATAGACACTCCTTTCGATTCCAAGCCTCTAAGGCTCACGAAAGAGCAGCTAGATGGTCCTTACTGACTGACACAGGACTGGTCTTTAGGGCCTAGACTGCAGTGGCTCAGTGGTTAAGAGGCTGAACTGCAGACCAGAAGGTTGGTAGTTTGGCGGTTCGAGACCCGAGTGCCGCGTGACAGAGTGAGCTCCCATCTCTGGCCCCAGCTCCTGCCAACCTAGCAGCTCGAAAGCAAGAAACTGCAAGTAGATAAATAGGGACTGCTTCGGTGGGAAGGTAACAGCGTTCCGTGCGCCTTGGCGTCTAGTCATGCCAGCCACATGACCACGGAAACGTCTTTGGACAGCACTGGCTTTTCAGCTTGGAAATGGAGATGAGCACTGCACCCTAGAGTCAGATTCGACTGGCTTTCGAGCAAGGGAAACCTTTACCTTTTTAACCCTGTGCCCCCTACCCTGATGAAAAGTTCTGAGGCTTGCCCCACCCTTTAAACCTCTTTCTGCTGTGCCAATCGAATTCCCTTACCAAGGTGCTGTTTCAGGGTCTCAACCTCCAGTGTTCTCTTCCTGTATTTTTCTTCATCTGTATGGGGAAGAGAGAGAGAGAGAAAGAGAGAAGGTGTAAAAGAGATCTTGACTGGGAATTGGTTTGTCCCTATCTTGATTTAACCCCTGGAATGCAAAACCAGGATCCTGCTATGGAATTCTGCATCCTTTAAATCTGTCATGTTAATACTTGTGCATCGCTTCAGTTCTGTTTTGAGACTACAACCCTAACTCCTTTTGCATTGCTTACTAAATATCTTGTTGGGAAAATTGGCAAAAATACTTAGGTATTCAAAGTTTGCAATGGATCTTTGCTTCACTGGAGGGGAGGCCTTTCTTTCTGTGTAAAAATCTTTATTTCTAAGGGAAGGGCACACAGGAAAAGCTACAAAATAACAAAGATACCTAAGACTACATCTTTACAGACTGACCACACGGTCTCTCAATGGAGATTTTTCTTCTTCTTCTTCTTGACCCCTAGAAGGAAATCACCTGAATACATTAACAAATTATTGTGAGCAGGGCTATTTTGGGGCAGGAACGCACAGGAACGGAGTTCCGGCTGGCTCTCGAGTTGGCCATGCCCAGTAGGAACTCATTAGCATAATAGGCCACACCCAACAGCAGAAACTCATTAGGATTGGCTACATTAGGGATGTGTTGCCTAACATGCAAAGAAGTTCCTGCTACAAAAAAAAGCCCTGGGTTTTGACAACAAATAAGGTAAACAGAATAAGAAGCAAAAGGTTACTTCTGGTAACATGGGGGTGTGGCTAAATATGCCAATGAGCTGTGCTGTCAGGGTGTGGCCTAATATGCTAATGAGCTGTGGCCTAATATGCTAATGAATTCCTAGAATTGCTGCTGGGCTTTTGTCTACAAAAAAAGCCCTGATTGTGAGTAAACAGACTTAGATTTCCCGGGCTATGTTTCCATTGGCACTCTGCCAGGTTTCCCTTCCAGGTCAGTCTAAACAACAGATTAACCCTATAATGACTGAATTAGACCTTGCAACACACACGTATTTCCAACATCTCTCATAAGTCAATTGTATTGACTCACTCTGTGTAATCTGCCTGGAGTCCGAGTGAGAAAGGTGCACTATAAATAATGTAAATAAACACATACAACACAGTTCAGAGGGGGAACTTGAGTTCCGGGGGTTGTTACACCTGCATAAGAACTGATACATAAACTGGCCCTTGGCCCGAGAGAGAAATGCAAAAAGCACAGACAGCGGGATCAGCAACACTGGGCTAGCAGAATCCACAGCTCCGTTGCCCCGAAAGTGTACCTGCCACCACCGTTTTCTTCTCTTTTCCTCCTTTTTTGCCTTTTCCTTTCCTCACGGAGCTCATTCTGGTAACTCCTCTGCAGCCTGCAAGCTAGAAAGATGTGAAAGATTGCGGCCAATATGTTTCATTCACCTTCTTTGATTTCCAGCAAGAATGAGGGATGCCAGCCTCCAGGTGGGACCTGGGGATCCCCCTGGAATTACAGCTCATCTCCAGT